GGGGGGGGGGGGGGGGGGGGGGGGGGGGCGCGGAAGTCTGAGGAACCATCGGGAGGGGTAAGAATGAGTGTACTATATATGGGATGTGATGGTTTAGAAGCAGGTGAAGAAAAATTCCAAAAAGGGGCTGAGTGAATGACAACATCAAGTGCTGCATACGGGTCAAGCACGAGGACCACCTCCAAAGACCACACTGAATTTTAAAAGTTTATTTACAATCTCTGTATAAATTAGCTTAAAGGGGCTGTCATGAGGATTAAATCAGAAGGCATAGATGAGGGGCTTCGGACACCAGCTAGATTCTCCCCACAGCCTGGATCCCATGACTGAGAGCAGAGACCTTTCTTGCTCAGTGCTAGATCCTCAACACCCATATTGGGCCAAGCAAAAGGTAACTTAATAAAGGTCTATTCAATGGGCAAATAAAGAAATGCATTATAAAACGCCTGGGTTTCCAATTACCTCCCCACCATTTTACCTCTGCCTTAACATGAGACATGTGTCCCACCGCTCATAAATGAAAAGCTTACAACGTGCATAAGCACTCACTGAGGTAATCATTAAGCAGGAACCCAGGCTTCCAATAACACGCAGTCAATTGACAGGAATGAATGAATGGTTCTTAGAACCCCAGCAGGGATGGCAGGAGGCTGGAGGGTGGCACAGGAGGAGGGACACACGTCAGCAGGGAAAGACCGTCACAAGAAAGTGACAGACGGGAAAGAAAACATGAAGACGTCAGAAGTTCCGTCTGTTGAACCTCCAAACAGTGCATCAAAACAGAACCAACAACCCTATTCACAAAGGAGTTTGCGGGCAGGTTTATGCAATTCTTTTGCGTTTAAATAAATAAAGTTGATATTATGATAGATACATATTTCATCAAATTAATATAGAAACTGGTATATAAAGCCCACACTCAATACTGACATTTTTAATACACTGGAAAGAACTGCTCTAGCTACAGAAACCATCCTTTCACATCCAGAATCACTATTTGTTTGAATACCTAAAGTCTGAATGAAAGGCAGTTTTGAGTAAAAATCCTTTAAGCACCCAACTGCTTACGGACTGGAGTGTGAATGATGCTTGACAGACTTAAACCATTGGTGCGATCCAGAAAGTAGAGTCCACGTGAAAGAGCCGCCCACGGCAAAGAATTCCTCTGGGACTCAGACAAACAAGTTTATTCTGCATCGTAGGTGCATTACTTATCATGGTTTACATCACCAGAAAATCTGATTATAAAATTATTTCATCCTTTAAAAAAGCATCAAGATAGAGTGTTTGACACTAACATTTTCTACTACAGCAGAGTTCACATTTGCCTTTCATTTAGGGGGAAACATTCCAGTTAGCCTCCCCAATGAATGCCTTGTTATGACATTAATAGCGTGAGTCAGTTTTTTTTTCTAATTGATTTCATCGTTTCTTTCTTTCATCTTTTCCTACCTTCCCTCTGCAGTTCCCCCAGCATAAGGAATGCAAATTTGGCAACATTTCCGTATAAACAGTGGACCAAAATCTAGCTATGTTTTATACAAGAAACTTTGCTAACATGCTCATGCTTTCATCACCTCCCGCCTCTGCGTGCTAATAGACATATGCGTGTGCGCTCAGACGCACACTTTAATTACATGTGTGCTCTCTGGGATCACAGTGAAAGGATTTGAAAGATGTGTTTCCACAGACTTCATCCGCCCTGTAGGATTCACTGACATGAAAATATGCTCTTTTATTTCTTCTTCTAAAACTGGGTGTAACTAGAACATATTCTAAAAATCATTGCTTCCCCCTCCCCTCCCTAGAAGCCAAAATAGCACATTTTTTTCCTACACCACCTACTCCTCTTTAAAAGATGTTTCACAAAATCTTAGTACTAAAAGGAACATTAAAGGACCATCTGGGTGGTCCTTTTACTACCAGATCAAACATGATAAATGAAGTCAATAAAGATATATTTACTGTTGAATTAACTACCTAATTTCTTCAAACTCTTAACTTTTCCAGTTAGCTTAAGCTTCTCACATTCTACATTTAAAAAAAAATTTTTAATGTATCCCTCAAGAAGTTTGGGTACTTTTTTCAAAAGATTAAGGAAATCATGAAAAACTGCCCACTGCTTGTGCTAAACAAAGACCGATTTGGAATATCTCCCCCATTTTAGCTGCCATGAACCTCAAGACATAAGTCTAGAATAAATTACCAGCAAAACACATGCACATGCTATCATTTCTTTTCAAGTATGATCTAAAAGGATCAACTTAAGTGACTCAGAAGATTCCATTAACAAGATATTGATTTATCTGTTCAACCAAGAGTCCCTCTCAAGGCTACTTTCTACCAAGCAGAACTGATTTATCCTGTGTTGCATCTGTCTAAATATTACATTTAAGCAAGGTTTATCTCTAAATCAAAGAATGGATCCAATTTTTTAGACTTGGGATTGTATTTTGCTCCTTTCTGTTGCAAGGAAGAATGAGAGCAGTGAAGGGAAAAAAGAATGTGTGTGAAAGGAGACTAATTCAGCAGGAAAGAACTGCAAGAAAGAAAATATATTTTTCGGGATCATTGTAATTTGGTTCGAAAGTCCCACAGATGATGCAGCTCCAGGATCATGCTTTGCTTCCTACCAATTTCAGGTCGCGAAAGGAAAGCAATATCAAACACCAGAAGGGAGCGAGTGTTGGGTGGTTTCAATAGGACCTGGCACCGCCCCCTAGATGGGTTAAAACATGGTTATGAGCACACTGCTAATAGCGTCAGTCACAAATAATAAGATTCTGCATGGTTTTAGTATCTGGGCCTGATTTCGGTTTATTCTGAGAAGCCAATCTGTCAGCCAGGCAGTGGGGAAGGGAAAAACCAGCACTGCCTAATATTGCCACCTGCTGGCTGTTGGTGGAATCACATGCTCATTCCTTCTCGGAAGAACTTCCTGTTATACTAAAAACAAAGACAAAACAAAAGCAAAAAAAACCTCTAGCTTAAATACAGACAGACCAACACGTCCACTTACCATTACTATTCTAATTTTCAAAACCATTAAAATTTATAAACTATAAATTACCTTTGCATTCGTCCTCCTTTTTCACCATCGTGTCACCATATGGTTTTTACTGACAAAGCCAAGCTGAGCAGTATTTCCAACCATTTACTCAGTGACAGTAAGATGTATGCTAGTTTTACAAGTTAAAATGTTGCCATTTTTCTCCCTTCATAACAATCAAACCTCCAAAACATTCTTCACTGTGGCGAGGAATCTACACCCACACTGAAAAGGAAATAGGACAGAATTTTGAGATCCTCCTGCCTGTGTCCATAACTCAATTCCTGTAGGTAAAAAGGTCATCACTGCTGACTTGCTTCTGATTCCTAGGAGGGCAAAGATCTCCTGCAACTATGCCAACAATGAAAGTGACTTCTTACATGACTCCCCTGTTTTTGGAGGGTATGGAAGTAGGAAGGAGACTGACATCAGGACTTAGAAGACATTTATCTTCTTTGTATCTGTCATCCTGAGCCAAGCAACCACCTCAACATAATAGGTGACAAAACTTAGCTGAAGAAGTAGGCATTGTTACAAAGTGTAGTTGGGAAGCAGAAATGCAGTCAGTCAGAAAGTTCCAGGGATCCTGGTCCTTTTGGAAGCGAGGGTTCATTTTCCACGGTAGACACAGGTGGAGCTGGCCACGCAGCCTTCACTCTGAAGGGAGATCCAAGATGAGATACAATAGGGGACCACAGGGCAGACCCACTCCTGCCAGCATGGATCAGAGGCCCGTGGTCAGAGGTCACCTTCTCACAAGCCACGTACCGTGCCAGGCAACACCAGGATCAAAGAGAAGAGGAAAAACAGTGCCTTCAAAGAGGCTTACAGTATTTGATGAAACTTACCATCTCCTCTTGTCCACAGCATTTTCCCCCCACTTCTGTTAGTCTTTATTTTTCGACGGGTACCTACTTTTTCCTAGAAATAGGTGCTATTTATTCTGGTCTGGTGTTTCTGAATCTTTCTATCCAATTTTCTCTTTCAGATAGATATGAACATTTCACTTAATGTCACTCAGAACATTAAAACAAATGAGATACTATCTATCTCTGTGTTTGTATAATGTGACGACAAATACCCCCAGATACAAAATCCAATGTTTTCCTTCTAGACCCCCATGGTGTCTAGAAGAATTCTGGTTATAAAATATAAGTAATTGAGGGCTTCCCTGGTGGCGCAGTGGTTGAGAGTCTGCCTGCCGATGCATGGGACACCGGTTCGTGCCCCGGTCCGGGAGGATCCCACATGCCGCAGAGCGGCTGGGCCCGTGAGCCATGGCCGCTGGGCCTGCGCGTCCGGAGCCTGTGCTCCGCAGCGGGAGAGGCCACAACAGTGAGAGGTCCGTGTACCGCAAAAAAAAAAAATAATAATATATATATATACATATATATATATATATAAGTAATTGAGAAGGGCACTGGTGGGAGGTGGGGAGAGAGGAATGACCTCTGATTCTACTTTGCTGAACTGTTATAAATAAGGTAAAACCCCAAACGAAAGGCAAGCTTTGCCTTTAAAGATATTGTAAGTTACATTCTGAATCTCAGGAGGGGTGGCTGCAAAGATGTCATCAGTGTGGCAAATTTGAGGCCTAGGTGCTGGGCATGGGGAAGTTTTAGGGATTGAAAGTGCAGGAGAAAGCAAGAGAGCCACAAAGCTGAAATGACTGAATCTTATTCAATATTGAGTTTTCCTATTACAGGGGATCAGAATGGCATAAAACCTACAATACCTAAAGAACACCTAGAAAGTTAGAAAGTAGCTGGCTGTTGTGAGGAAAAAAAATTAAGAATGGCCGGGAGATTCCAAACCTGCTCCCCTCGGAAAGGTCTAAGGAGGAACCACCAAGGTCAGGCCAACGGAATAAGGAAATCAGCTGTGTGTTGAGCATTTCAAACCAAAGTTTACCTTTAAATGCTGACTCTCAAAACCTAATAGCGAGAAATGGAGGAAAGAAAAAGTATTTTTTATGACTTGACAATGGCCTTCCATAGTATGCTGTGTAATTTCTCTGTTTTAAGTTCTGAAGCTCAACCCAAGCTATTTAATGGCTACGTCAGGCACTTTTCTGTGACGCTGGAGTAGATTTTTCCTGAAGTCCCTGATGAAGCAAAGAAGAAACTAGAGCATCTCTATAATTAGGGTAAACATATGATATCATCCAGACAGGGACACTTTTGAGAGTAAAAGGGGACAGTATTAATAACTATTCTGGGCCAAGAGGCATCAGCTGGCTCAGGCCCCAGCCGGGCAGGAGGTAGGGCCACACTGCCAAGAACCAGGAGAACCAAGGAATGATGAGTATTCTCACTTAATAAGTCCAAGCACACGGTGCAAAGCCCAGGTAGCAGGCACGCTGGGGGCTAGACAGACAATCTGGGAAAAACGTTAAGTGTGAAAAAGAAGCTATAGGATGGGGTGGATTAGAAAAGAACAGAATGGCTTAAGGCCCAAAATCCATATTATGGCACAGCAAGTCATCCACAGGCTGGTTACAGATGGCCTCTCCAAGTCACCTTACAGCATCCCTACCCTTGAAATCTGCATCTAACCATGGTGGACGTCAGCTTGCTGCCTTTGGCCCATCTGGGTTCTCTCCGTGATGTGGGTCTTCACACAAACGGTTGTCTCTGCCCAGAGCACTCTCCCAGCTCCCACGTTCTGTCTGCTTTCTTCCTACTCTCTGACAGCACTGCTTCTCCAGGGAACCCTACTTTATCTCTTTATCAGATTCCTACCTACTCTGCATTTCTTCTCTCGAGGCCCTTCCCATTAATATTTTATCTGGTTAATAATCTGTCTTTGCCTAATTTCTTCCATGCTCTTTTCCCAGTTAGGCCTGGCTTATAGTTAGTTCTCAACAAATATTTATGGATTGAATGAATTACACAGGAAAGTGAAGTGATCTTTTCACTGGCAACCAAGCGTCCAAGAAAAATTTCTGGTAATGAATCAGCTAGTGAAAAGTTATTAAAAATTTAAAAAACAAGAATGGGGCTCTTTACTAAGTATTTTTCTGAATGAGCCTCTCAAGTACAGTAGTTGCTAGGAACCCTGCACCATTAATGGGCAGAAACGGTCTGAGATCCGTGTGGAGGCTTGACTCAATGTGACATTGGCCTCTAGTGGATGAAGTGGAGAATACAGCAGTGCGAAGTAAAAGATACCTCATAGTACTAGCAATTACCAAAGGAAATAAAAAAGCCAAAATTTCTTCTGCTTCTTTCCCTTCTATCATGTAAGCTGACTTTTTCTCCCATTAGGGGCGTGGTCCACTGTCAAATTTTTACCTCAATTAAATATTTAGCTTTCTGAGCATCCATGTTTAGAAACAGCTATTCACATCAGAGCTTCCATGATAGAGAGAGATTTTTATACCAAGCCCAAGGAGGAGTCAATTTTACCACCTTGATTCCTTTTTTTCCTAAATAATCTTTTCTTGCCTCCTGGTGTTTTTCTTGGGATTGAAGGCTACCAGATACTCCTGACATGGAGGTGTATTTTAAACCACCTGCTACTCAAAGGGTAAACATGTGACAAGGAGAGAAACGCTGGAACCAAAGAAGAAATGAGTTAAAGTGAGGAGAGACTGCAAATTAGAGGCATGAGTATATGAACAATTTTTTGCCTTGTAAACAAATCAGATGACGCTGTTTAATATTATTTACTTTTTTCCTCTCGTTAGCACTCAACCTGACATCGTGAGATCCTGGAATGTGCACGGGGTGTACATTCAATTCTGCAGAGATGCTTCTAGCTGCTCCTGCTCTACCTAAGAGCTTGTCATCACTTTTTAATCTCCAGGTTTTAAGGACACTACTGCTCACTCACCTTACTCTAGTCCTTATAACATCTTTACCTATCTCCTACTGTATCTGTATGCAGGATGCTGCTCAGGAGGGCAAATCTTTGGAACCCAAATTGTTGCCTCAGTGTAAAGTGAGCTCAAGGGGGTGGCACAGAAGAGACCTTCTATGTGCATTCTCACCGGGCAGAGGGACAAGCAGGGGACACCGGGAGGGCAGCTTAGTGTGTTCTCAGGAGGGAGGCCGAATCCCTTGATCAGACATATTCAAATTTAAATGTACAAACAAATCCATGTTCCCAAGTAAAACAAAGAATTCTTGGATACTGGCTCCTATTTGCTTTAAGCAGTGGGAACCACACTGCCAATCATGGGAAAACAGCTGTTCTCAGATTAGATCTGTACAGCAAGCGTACTTCCGAGCACTTTACTAAAAGCTCCATTTCCCCCAAACACCTGGAATTCGTGCACATACATGTAAAACAGATGGCAACCGAGCTCACAGTTTCAATTAGGTTCAATCCTACCAGCTGGCATCCACAAGAGTTGGCAGAAAGAGAAGCAATATGCATCCATTTAATAAGCCTATCACCCCATGCACTATCCGTCTTCCATCTTCTTTCACACCTTTGCCAGCACTGGACGCTGGAACTCTCTCGCTGCCCACTTCTTTTGAGAATGGAAGCCCTGCTGTAAAAGAAGAAGACGGAGGGGACCATGCAGCAAGTGCACAGGTCGGAGACATGCCCTTCCAGGGAACTGTCTAAGAGACAAGTACGTGGCTTAAGTGGCCACCCGGGCCTCTGCCGCCCTAGAGGCTTCAGTGATACCTACCATTTCCTTGAACGCACTTTCAAGAGCCCCGATGACGAGGCACTCGTGCGGGATCTTCTTCTCGGTGAAAAAGCGCGTGGGCGGGGCGCTGGGGGAGCCGGGGGCGCCCACCCCTCCGCGGAGCGAGGCCGCGCGGGTCAGAGTCCGGCTGTTCGCGGGTGTGTGGTCGGGCTCCTCGCCCAGGCAGGTGGGCGGCAGCACGGCCGAGTTCTTCAGGATCTCCACAATGTCCTGCAGCTGCTCCGTGACGTGGTGCTGCAGCAGGCGGGATGCCACCACAGCAGCCCCGGACCCCGCGTGACCGTCAAACAGCGACCAGTAGTGGCAGGAAACGCCTTCTGATTCCTGCGGGAGGAGGGCGACAAGGAAGAGTGAGAAACGCAGTGGCCACTGCCCCAGGGTGAGGGCGCGACACCTCCAGGGCTCGGCGCGTCCATCTGGCTGTCTGTCTGCAAACAACGGGGGTCAAAACCGAGCAAAACACTTAGGGAAGGGTCCCCAGATTCATCGCTGATGTTACCACCACCCCAGGGAGAAAGTGGTCCCTGCCCGGCCACCCAGGGCAGGAGTCCAAGTCACCACCCGCTCAGTTGGGGTGAGATCTACTTTAATTTGATGTGCAGAAGTGAGAGGTAAAACTCCAAGCAAACAGGTAGGTCTTTACAGTTTTAACAGCTAAACCCCTCACTTCCCTTCTGCTGCAACCCCCAAGCAGGTTTGACCTGGAGTCTTTGGAAGAAGTTAGGTCTTCTTTACAGATTCTTCAAGGGGAGATAAATAGACCCATTTTCACCTCATAGGGCTTTTACACTCTCAGATAATTGTCCCATGTGCTATGTCTACCTCCTGAATTTGCGGAACATGTTTTTCCCTTGAACACCCAGTCTAGCCCACCCTTCACAAGATGCAGTCAATTCAAATCTCCTCTTCATGTGTCTTCCAGCTGTCACTCAGCATCTTGGCTTCCTCTTCCTACCCTAAAGCCACGTGCAGCCCATGTTCCCTCATCTACCACAGATCTTATACCTGCTGGTTGATTCTGAGACTATTTCAAGATGAACACTTTAAAAAACCATGTTTGAATCACATATGCCTAAGATCTTAGCTATAGGGGGGGGGGGAAAAGGCAGCTCAATTATGGTGTAGCTAGAGGGATAAGATATTAAATACTGAGATTAAATAGGTAAGGTGCATATAACATCCACTACTGACAACTAGGCTTATCTAGCCTGCAGCAATAAATGTTGAATTCTACTTTTTTTAGTTGAAGCCATTATATAAAGTTCTTTTGGTCTATCTTACTTTTTTAATTGAAGGTATTTGACCTATAACATTGTATAAATTTAAGGTGTACAACATGCTTATTTGATACATTTATATATTGTGATATAGTTGCCATCATAGCAATAGCTAGCATCTCTGTAACTGTGTTTTTTTGTGGTTAGAATAATTAAGATCTAATCTCCTATCAAGTTTGATTATTATAATACAATACTGTTGTCTACGTTACGTTCACTGTACTGTACATTATATCTCTAGGACTTTTTTACCACTCCTTGCAAGTTCGTACTTTTACCCAACATCTCTCCTTATCCCCGCCACCCTCCAGTCCCTGGTAACCACCATTTTGGTCCATCTTAGATGCTGGAAGATACTGTGTACTTAGGGTGACATAGGCCATTACTCTATTTGTGCCCTTTAAAACTTTGTTTTTACTCAATTCTGTGCTAGATGCTTAGAGATAAAATAGTCTCTTTTTTTGTTTTTTGTCAACAAATATTTACTGAGCACTCTTTCTGTGACAGGCACAAAAGTAGGCCTGTAGTGGGGATGAAAGACTAGATGAAAGATATAGAGACAGGGTCTGATTTTAAGAATCCAGTGGAGGAGACAGACACTGATCAAATAATCACACAAGTAAATGTAAGATCATAATTCTGGTGAGGGGACAAAGTGCTGTGAGGCCAGCCTGCAAAGGGGCATATTGGAGGCTTCCTGAGCACATGAGGACCAGGCTGAGGACCACTGGAAATTCACAAGATAAAGAGGGGAAAGGAGGGAACACCAGGCAGCAGCAATAGCAGCTGCAAAGGCTCCGTGGTAGAAGGTGTGTGATGGTCAAGAGGAGACTGGACCATGGCCATGTGGCTGAATAGGGGACAGAGGCAGGAAAGGAGGGAGATGACATGAGACTGGAGAAGGAGGTGGGAGTTGGACCACTCAGTCCTTCCAGGACACATGAAGGATCTTGGCTTTAGCTTTAGAGTAACAGAAAGCCGTTGATTGAAGTGGGAGTTAGAAAACAGATTTGTATTTTTAAAAGATCTGTATTTTTAAAAGATCATTTGTATTTTTATTTGTATTTTTAAAAGATCATTCAAGCTAAAGGTGAGAAGATGGCGGTGGGAAGACACAGAGTTCGCGTCCCCCCACAACTGCCGGATGCTGGTGGGGGACCTCAATGCCCAAGGAGATGGGAAGAACCCCAAACTGAACCGGTAGGACATGGGGGGACTGAAGGGGGAGGAGAAGTGGAGGCTGGACAGGACCGGTGCCCCTGAGGTGTGTCTGAGGGTGGGGATGGGCTCTGGGAACCCTCCAGTGCCTGGAGGGACCCTCAGGGGCTTGAATCAGGGCGGAACAGGCCCAGCGTTTCCCCTGCCCAACTGGCTGGGGAAGTTTGCCCAGCTCTCAGGCCAGGTCCTATGCCCTCAGAAGTCCCCTCTGGACCGGGTTGATCCTGGGGGCATAGCAGAGAGGCCGGGAGAGAACAGGAGAGGCAGGCGGAGGGGCCCTCTGGGACCCAAGGAGCAGGAGAGGAGCAGAGGACGTCTGCCCCACCCACTTGGGCCCAGGGAACCTGCTGAGCTCCTAGGCTGGTCCCCCGCCCTCCAAAGCCCCCTCCAGGCCACGTAGGCCCTGGGGGCATAAGAGGGAGGCCAGGAAGACCAGGAGAGGTAGGTGGGAGGGGACCTCTGGGACCGGAGGAGCAGGAGAGGAGGGCGTTGGCCCAGCCCACTCGAGCCCAGGAAGCCTGCTGGGCTCCCGGGTGAGGTCCCCTGCCCTGTGAGACCAGAGGCAGCAGGCAAGCCTGGGCCCCTTCTGTTGAGGCTAAGCCCCACCCCCTACAGTTCCCAGGGCCTTTTCCAGCCCTGTGGGTCCTAAGCATAGGCCCCGCCCACAACCCAAATCTCTCCCTTGCTTAGGCCCCGCCCTCCACATCCAAGGTCTTTTCCACCTCATTTTTTTTTTCCTCCTCCTCTTTTTTACTACTGTGGTTCTGTTTTACCTTCCGGTTGTTATTTCATCTACATTTTTATTTTTATATTTTTTCTAACATATCTGTTAGTTTCCTCATCTAATTTTATTTTTTACTTTGTTATTGTTCTCCTTTTTTTTTTTCTTTTTTGCCACCCTGTGCAGCTTGCAGCATCTTGGTTCATGAGCCGGGGTTTGGGCCAAAGCTCCTGCGGTGGGAGCTCTAAGTCTGAACCACTGGACTAACAGAGAACTTAAGACCCCAGGGAATATTCGTCAGAGTGAGGTCTCCCAGAGGTCCTCATCTCAGCACCAGGACCCAGCTCTAACCAACAGCCTACAAACTCCAGTGTTGGAAGCCTCAGGCCCAACAACCAGTAAGATAGGAACACAATCCCACTCATTAAAAAATGGAAAGAAAAAAAAAGAGAGAGACAGCAAAAAAATATGTCACAGTTGAAGGAACAAGGTAAAAACCTATAAGACCAAATAAATGAAGAGGAAGTATTCAATCTACCTGAAAAAGAATTCAGAGTAATGATAGTAAAGATGATCCAGAATCTTGGAAATAGAATGGAGGCACAGATTGAGAAAATAAATGTTTAACAAAGATCTAGAAGAACTAAAGAACAAACAAACAGAGATGAACCACACAATAACCGAAATGAAAAACACACTAGAAGCAATCAATAACAGAATAACTGGGGCAGAAGAACGAATAAGTGACCTGGCAGACAAAATGGTGGAAATAACTGCCGAGGAGCAGTTATAAAGAAAAAAGAATGAAAAGAATTGAAGACAATCTCAGAGACCTCTGGGACAACACTAAATGCACCAACATTCGAATTATAGGGGCCCCAGAAGAAGAAGAGAAAAAGAAAGGGTCTGAGAATCTGCTGTAGAGAAAAATTTCAACGTAAATTAAAAAAAAAGAAAAAGAAAGGGTCTGAGAAAATATTTGAACAGATTACAGTGGAAAACTTCCCTAACATGGCAAAAGAAATAGTCACCCAAGTCCAGGAAGCACAGACAGTCCCATACAGCATAAAACACACCAAGACACATATTAATCAAACTAACAAAAATTAAATTCAAAGAAAAAATATTAAAAGCAGCAAGGGAAAAACAAAAAATAACATAGAAAGGAATCCCCATAAGGTTATAAGCTGATTTTTCAGCAGAAACTCTGCAGACCAGAAGGGAGTGGCAGGATATACTTAAAATGATGAAAGAGAAAAACCTACACCCAAGATTACTCTGCCCAGCAAGGATCGCATTCAGATTTGATGGAGAAATCAAAAGCTTTTCAGACAAGCAAAAGCTAAGAAAATTCAGCACCACCAAACCAGATTTACAATAACTGCTAAAGAAACTTCTCTAGGCGGGGAACACAAGAGAAGAAAAAGACCCACAAAAACAAACCCAAAACAATTAAGAAAATGGTAATACGAACATACATATCGATAATAACCTTGAATGTAAATGGATGAAATGCCCCAACCAAAAGACACAGACTGGCTGAATGGACACAAAAACAAGACCCATATATATGCCGTCTACAAGAAACCCACTTCAGACCTAGGGACACATGCAGACTGAAAGTGAAGGGATGGAAAAAGATATTCCACGCAAATGGAAATCAAAAGAAAGCTGGAGTAGCAATACTTGTATCAGATAAAATAGACTTTAAAATAAAGACTGTTACAAGAGATAAGAAAGGACACTACACAGTGATCAAGGGATCAATCCAAGAAGAAGATATAACAATTACAAATGTTTATGCACCCAACATAGGAGCACCTCAACACATAAAGCAAATGCTAACAACCATGAAAGGGGGAATCAACAGTAACACAATAATAGTAGGGGACATTAACACCCCACTTACACCAATGGACAGATCATCCAGACAGAAAATAAACAAGGTAACACAAGCTTTAAATGACACAATAGACCAGACAGATTTAATTGATATTTATAGAACATTCCACCCAAAAGTGGCAGAGTACACTTTCTTCTCAAGCGCACATGGAGCATTCTCCAGGATAGACCACATCTTGGGTCACAAATCAAGCCTCAGAAAATTT